TCCCTAGCAAGAGCAAAGGTATTAGAATTGTGCAATGATACATCCTGCTATTAATAATGCCAGCATAGCTCCAGCCTCTGTTCACCCAACTGAAAATGGCAGTCCAAGAACAAGGGACATGTCTTTTGTTGCCTATAATTCTGGCAGCTGAAGAATGTATAATCAAATTTATAGTCAAATTGAATATGTTAGCACTAACCCTAACTTTTCTTCAGATCAGTTGGGTGTGTAGGCTTTGAGCACAGGCTCAGAAGCCCTTCCACAACTTAAGGGTTTATTTGTAGGGAAGAGTGAGCCCAGTTTCTGGCATTATATCTCCCCTGGATGAACTGCTTATTCATTGAGTCAAATTGGATTTTACTCCCGACAATAAGTCCCTGTGCAAAGTCAAGAGACTAAGGAAAATACACATTAGCATATGTAGAGTATAGAGATGCGTCCTGCCCACATATGCCAGGGGTTATATTCACAGCAAACCTCTGAGATTGTAGAAGGCATGGATTAATAAAACATTGGTGAGCAGGTAGCCTGCGGAGAGGGCTACACGTGCTTGTTTGTAGTTGACACATCACTCATCATCGCAGAATGAAGAACTTTGACTGCAGAGCTGCAATCCCCTGGCTGCATATGAATGTGGGTGCAGTAGGGAGCCTGTTTACCTAGGGAATGTGCTGCTGGCTGATTTATAATAAAAAGAACCTGAAAAGATGTAATTGGTGCCCTTTCCCACAATCCAATGAGCTGTGACACCGAGATAAACAGTGGCATTGAGTTAAGCATGTTTGTCTATTTTTCAATGTTAAATTTTAATTTCCCCATCTTTTAGCTTCTTAGGGCTTCATTTTAAACAAGGCTAAGAGTTTTAAAATTATGCTTAGCCCTACAGTCTTAATCATTATAGATTCTGCTTTAAGGAAAAGGCAAGTAAGAAAATATTAAGACAATGTAGTTAAACATTACTCGAATTGATTTTTAATTTGTAATTCTCTAAGACTACATTAAATGTTACTTAAAGATGCTCTGTCAGAGAACTAAAGGAAAAATATTTTACATATTTTTGTCAGTTAACTTGTTTTTAAGATCTGTGTATCTAATTTCTAAATATATATAACATATGTAATTTGTAATGGCTTGTTTTTTGAGTCCAGCGCTTCATTACAATTCCCATGTTAAAGGAAATCTACAATATACTTCTTTTTTGAGATTTTCACAAATGATAGAGATAGTTGGTAGAAAAAGAGAGGAGTAATTTTCCATCACTGTCTACATAAAAATATCTAAGCATTTGAAATGTTGACAGCAGAGATCATATTCATTTGTTTACAATTGGGTACTAGCTCACGGCCTAGCACACGCATAGCAGGTATTCAATAAATATTTGATGAATGAATGCATCTCTGAAGCTCTGAATTAGGATAATGTGCATGTGTCTAAGTTTGTATTCTCCTGACCTAAAACAAGTAAATGTAGGTCAACTTGGGGATGCATCTCTCTTGGCTTATTAGGCACCCATCAGAGCTTCAACTTCCTAATACAAAGGCAGAATTTTCTACTAGAGATATACAAAGTAATTCCTATAGTTCTACCTATTGGCAGTCTTATCATCAAATAACATAATAGGGTAAGAGCACTTGGATGATTAGGTAGGTAATGAAATAAAACAATCCACTATCAGAATTCCCATTATCTAGGCCACAAATAAAATAACAAAGAGTCATTTGCAAACATAATTGGTGTGTCTTCAAGAAACATTTGTGGAATATCTTTCTGATTGAAGACACTATGCCAGGCCCTGAATACACAGAGATGAATAAAACAGAGCCTCTACTTGTGAAGCAGGCAGACTGATAGATACTATTACTTCAAGTATAATTTGAGGTTTCATTTGAAGTCATCTTTGACTAAGTGCATTTTCCCAAGAGAGAATTAAGCTTTCCATAAACTATGAAGTTATCTTTACCCTTTGAGAAGTCAAACTTCATAGTCAAGAGATACCTGCATTTTTTCATAATGGTAAGACTGAGCTGATGACCTTCTTTTAATTAACTATTCCCTTTTATTAGGCACATAAAACAATTATTCTATGGAGCAATTTCTGCTTCTTTATTATTAGTGATAATGATTGCAGTGTCTTTTGCCTTCCATGGCAATTTTGCTTCAAAGGGAATTGCACATAAAGATCAAAGAGAGACCAGAAATTGATATGAAAATTTTTAAAAATTCTCCTACAGTATCAACTTTTTAAAACATTATTGTTTTTGGCCTTTCTGGTGCCCTGTGGCAGATCTCCCAGAGAGGCCCTGGGTTAACACTGAGCATTCCAATGACTGCTGCCGTCATTGCTGAGGTTCACACCTAAATAAATAAACAAAATAAACCCCAGAGGACGTGTGCGTCTCAAGCAAACAGCCCATCACTTGCTCCATGCAAAAGAAGCAGAGCATGTGGGAAGCTGGGTTTTAAAGGGCACTGCTAACAAGAGAAGGGAGAAATGTCAAAACTGTTGAACACTGGACTATTCCTGTTTTGTTTTTTTCATGTTGAGTTTTGGTTTTTTTTCCTTCAGATCTTAAAAATCCTGAATGCTGTGCCATTTCCTTTATTTCCAATGAGCAGAAAAGGAAACATTTATCAGTTATAATAGTAACAGCAATAGCAAATATTTCTTGAACTAACTACAACAGGAATAGAAAACAGGAAGTAAACAATTCCACAGTGGAAGGAAGATAGGAAAGAATTTTTGTTCTTTCCTGGTAGTGACTACTGAGTCTTTAATAAGTGGGCGTTTACAGATAAATGGGTATAGAAGGGCATTTTCAGCCAAGGGAATAATATGAGCAACATCCTGGTGTCCACTAATGTGAACAGAGTTCAATACGGCTGAAGCATAGGTTTGAAGGCCGAAGTGGGACAAAATTGATGAGCATAGTGAACAGTAAGACCTGAGAGCTAGCCAGGGATAAGATCAAGGAGAATGAAGAAGTCAATTCTCCAACCTAGAGAAAAGTAGATATAGATTGACAGGAGATAGGCCGCTCTGAGCTGCGGTTAAGATCATGCATTAGACAGAGCATTTTCATCAAGGGGACACTATTCAGATTGTTAACATTTGCTAACTTATCTGAGAACACACAGGTGGTATGGCTTTCAGGCATCCTGATTGAGTAGAGAAGCAGCCAGGAGATCCCCCTCCTTCATAACACCCCACCAATCCACAATTATCCACAAAAGCAGAAGAGCATACAGGCACACTATACCACACACACAGGGGCAAACAACTGTACCCTGTCGGGAGTCCCAGTCACTTCTCTCACTTAACTCTGAAAGTTACACAAGCTCATCTCACCTAGCAGGAAGAGGGTGGGCAAGCAGAGTGAGCGTGCTGCCCAGACTTTGCTCTAGTGCTAGGAAGCTGAGTGACAAGCAGTACAACAGTAGGTCCATTGGTTTGTGCGCATGCAGTGGGACTGCTCCACACCAGGTTTTGAAAAGATCCCTGGGAGGGCCTTAGCCTACTGTCCAAAACATGACCCTCACAGCAGGACATTGCCATATTTTCTAGCCCATGTTGTATGAAGAAGCTCAATTTATGGAACTCTCTTAAGCTACAATTTACTATGCAAATCCCAGCACTAGTGCTCACTGCACTCCTCTGGACATGAGGGCTGTCAGGAGTCACCTAACACTGGCTGGAGGAGGCAGCCAGGCATCAACAATTGCACTTTCCCCAGCATCTATACTGTACAGGTTATACAATAATAAGTTTTAAACTTGTGTAATTGAGGAAGGGGTTTTTTTCTTCATAATTCACAAAAAAAGTGCTTTGGAGGTTGGCGGCAGCTCTCTAGGAATCTACTGCTATGGTCTTATTAAAGATAATAAGAGCCTGGCACAATGGGGAGAGAAAAGAAGGCTTTGAGAAGTGTTAAAGCAGGTAGATGCTTCAGAACTTAGTGGCTAATTGAAAGAAATGGGAAGGGCTCTAGTGTACAGGTTTCTGGTTTGAGAGCCTGGTTACAGAGAAAATCCATTCACAGAGATAAGGGAGAGTTTATAACATGTAGACCTGGAGGTGATAGAGGGGTGTATCGGTACAGCTGTTTAGCAGGCAATTAACCTAGGAGTCATTTAAGTGGAGGTTGAAACTATGAACACTGGTAGAGCTAGAGCTCAGGAAAGGGTGCAGTGAAAATGGGGGTGTTCAACAATGGAATTTGAGATGCAGTCAGAAATGAAACATGAGATCAGAAACCTAGAAATTTTCAACAGATAGAAAATAGTCAAGCTTTAATTAAAGCCAAGTAAAATGAGGATTAAAGAGAGAATATGGAATTTAGAAACTAGTAGATCAGTAGTCGCTTTTTTCAAAGCCATTTGTTAAAGCAGTGAAGAAAGAATCTTAAATGCAGTGGGCAGAGAGCATTGGGATAAGAGGGAATGGGGACAAGTCTGCAGATAATTATTTTGAATAAGTCACCTATGAAGGGAGGAGAGGGATGTGATGATGGGAATTCAGAAATGGCGGTAGAGTTACAATTATGTTTTGTTTTGCTTCCCAATGGAAAGGGAAAAATGAATAAAAGGGGTTGGTACAAATGTAGCTGAAAGAGAGGGAATAAAGACTCAGACCAAGTTGTAACCCTACATACGAATAGCTAAGTAAATGACTCAGTAAAGAGAGTACTGAACTTGGCATTAGAAAAACCAGAATCTGAACACTATCTCCATTCTAAGTACACTTTGTCAGATTATCTCTTTAGTCCTCAGTGTTCATTTCTGGAGCTGGGATACTTAGATCTACATCACAGTGGGTTGGAAGGACTGGGTGAGGATACTGTGGGAGAGTGCCTGGTGCAGTGGTGTGGTGTGTGGTTAATAAATGGTACTTTGAGTCATTATCTCATCAAAGACCTGAATGGGAACCATCAATGTAATCACTGCTGGTTTTTTTTGTTGTTTTTTTTTTACCATTTTTGTTCATACAATTTTTATCTCTCTAGGAATTTGGTGACAGGCTCTGCTAGTCTGTTCTTCCCTTATATGAAGGAAAGGCCAAAGATCCAGTTTGGAAATGAGAGAGGAAGTCTAGCGGGCAACATTGGCTCCATCCACTGATATCTCCTACAGGTACAGAAAGAGGATTCATGAAGATGTTGACAAGACTCCAAGTTCTTACCTTAGCTTTGTTTTCAAAGGGATTTTTACTCTCTTTAGGGGACCATAACTTTATAAGGCGGGAGATTAAAATAGAAGGTGACCTCGTTTTGGGGGGCCTATTTCCTATTAATGAAAAAGGCACCGGAACTGAAGAATGTGGGCGAATCAATGAAGACCGAGGGATTCAACGCCTGGAAGCCATGTTGTTTGCTATTGATGAAATCAACAAAGACAATTACTTGCTACCAGGAGTGAAGTTGGGTGTCCACATTTTGGATACATGCTCAAGGGATACCTATGCATTAGAGCAATCACTGGAATTTGTCAGGGCATCTTTGACTAAAGTGGATGAAGTTAAACACATGTGTCCTGACGGATCCCCTGCCATTCAAGAAAATAGCCCACTGCTGCTCATTGCAGGGGTCATTGGTGGCTCTTACAGCAGTGTTTCCATACAGGTAAGACTGGCCAGGGCTACTGCTAAAACGTTGTGTCTCTTTCATTTTACGTCTTGTCAAAAAAAGACTATCTTCATAACTTGATCAATGGGTGATATTAACAGTGTCATTGTTCATATCTATGGGTATTTGATAACATAGGTGTGCAGACAGAACAGTCGTCTAGCAATGATAATTGTTTAGAAATATATCAGGTAGCTACCGCAGCATAACAACCTACCCCAAAATTCAGTGACTTAAAACAATAATTCATTATTATAGTTTCTAAGTCTAAAGATCAACAGAAGTAAGCTGCTCAAGGCTGAGTTCAGCTAGCAGTGACCCTGCCCCAGCTTTACCCTTATCCTCTTCCTGGAATCAATGAGGTAGCCCAGGCATAACCTTCTCAGAGTGATGACAGAGGTGCAAGTGAACACAAACTTAACAGCCCAGGCCCTTCTAAGCTTCTTTTTGCATCACATCTGCTAACATCCCACTATCAAAGCAACTCACAGACCTCAGCCCAATATGTCCTGCCCACAGGACAAGTTACATCAAAAAGGATGTGGGTTTATAAGGAGTAATGAACTGAAGCCATTGATACAATCAACCACAAGAAGATTCAATATCACTGAACTCTATTTTTTTCACACTAATTTTTACTAAAGCATCATTTTGTTCAGAGATCATTTATAAACAATTTCTCATGATATAAGCCTGATAATCTATGCAGATAAGTCAGATGACTACCAAAAAAAAAAGGAACAATTCAGCTCCCAACTTAGATAAAAAGCTGGTAAGAGGCTCTCATAATTTCGTTAGAGAAAGAAGGAACATATTATTCAAACTATTTCAATGCTCACCTATTCAACTTTCTCATGTTCCCAACCCCCAGAAAGATTGGTTTCATAAAACTCCCACTGGTAGGTAGCACAAGAACTAGGACTCTGATAGATCCTTTGTACTTTGGGGCTCTTTCAACTGTCCCATATGATTTCTATATGTTACTTGAATTTCAATTTTTTTCTGGTGAGAGCATTAATGTCACAGTAATAAAAAGTCATAATTCTAGGAATTATATACTTTAATTTCTACCAAATTACTATAATCACAGCTCCAAGTACTAGAGAAAGCCATATTATACTCATGCTGTCTTCATATGTCATGAAGCACTTAAATTGGCTTTATTTGCATAGGAATAACCTTATTTCTATATCCCAGATTCGTGGCATTTAAAATTCTATGTACAATTCCATGCTGTTCAAAATGAGCTATTTGAAATTTCTTTCCTTCTTCAGAGCACATCCTCATATTATGAGTAATTAAGATAATTAATTTTTCAAAAACACCCTTTGACTTCATTAGACAGATGAAAATATTGCACATTTCAAAGCATATCATGGTAATTTTGCACTTTTTCTATACTTGGATCAAGAGAGATGGAATTTGATATTTGAGAAGAGAAAATTAAAAAATATACATCTGTCATACTTCAATAACAATTTCACCAGATATGTGCCAATCATTTTACAAATATACTATGCCTAATATTACCACTAGTAAGGGATTATGTACATGCCTTTCTAACCTGAATTTCTCCCAGTGAAGTAAAAAGCACTCTAAAGCAGATAAATAAATATCTATTTATTCAAAGTATTTAACAAACTATGGCAGGCAAATAGATATTTTTAATCTAATTTTACCCTTTTAATATTTATATACTCCTCAAAACAGTTTAGATTGTTTTAGAAAAAAAAATGTGGGCTATTAAAATCCTGTACTGTTCATAAAGGAAGAAGCTGCTTCTTAATCACCAAAGGATCTGGCTTGTTATTTCATTTATCTAGTTCATATCACCATAAAGTCACAAGCGCTAATAATGGTTTTTGTCTCCACAATATAAATAAAGAAACCAAAACTATTATACTCTACTGAAAATGATATAGATTTTGGCATCAGAAAGACTTGGATTTGAATTCCAACCCTAACATGTACTAGCTTACCAATAAAATAGGAAAATAGCTTCTATCTTAAAAAGTTGTTGAGCCCGGCCAGGGTGGCTCAGTGGCTGAGCATCGACCTATGAACCAGGAGGTCATGGTTCATTTCCCTTCTAGAGCACATGCCCAGGTTTCAGGCTCAATCCTCCAGTGTGAAGTGTGCAGTCACAGTCTAACAATGATTCTCTCTCATCATTAATGGTTCTATCTCTCTCTCTCCCCCTCCTTCCCTCTCTCTGAAATGAATTATATACATATAAAGTTGTTGAAAGGATAAATTGAGAGAAATTGTGGGAAATACCTCACCAAAACCCAAAAGATTTAATAAATGTTCCTAAAATTATAGGAGAAGTCAGTGGAAGAGCCACAACTAAAACCAGCTCCATGGTCTGCCCTCCTAGTGGCCCAGCAGTCCCATGAAGTCACTGAGGGTCCCCCATGTACTTCAATCTGCATGAAGGTCACTGTTATAAGGGTGAGGGAGACTGCTAATGTAGAGTACACAGCCTTCATATCAAGTAACTTAAAATCTGGCTATGGGCACAATCCTATATAATAAAAGGCTAATATGCAAATCGACCAATCATCAGAACGATTGGTCACTATGACACGCACTGACCACCAGGGGGCAGACACTTAACACATGGGCTGCCCCCTGGCGATCAGTGCACTCCCACAGGGGGAGCGTCGCTCAGCCAGAAGCCGGGCTCATGGCTGGCGAGCAGAGCAGTGGTGGCGAAAGCCTCTCCAGCCTCAGTGGCAGCACTACGTATGTCCCCTGAGGGCTCCTGGACTGCGAGAGGGCACAGGCTGAGCTGACGGCCCCCCCTCCCCAGTGCATGAATTTTTGTGCACCAGGCCTCTAGTACTACTATAAAATAACAGTGACTACAATTCAGAATATGTTCATGTGGCTCACAAGGTAAGATGACGCTTAGAAAGGCTTTGAGGATGACTGATAGAATGAAAGTTGCATTGGAGAAAGGCCACTTGGGTCACAGTGTGAATGAGATGCTGGATGTGAGCAGGACAATCAGAACATTGTGGCAGGTATGCATGTGCTATGGACAGTGACCCTGACAGGAGTAAGAAGGTGTGCTGAAGAGGGAGGGTAGGAGGGAGCTTCACTCCCTCCTCCATGGCCCCCAGGTGTCCTGACTACTCAGTCTTGATTAGGCCATACACTGGCCCCAGCCAAGGTAAGCTGGGAGGTGAAGCAATTTGTCTATACAGTGATCTTCAGGCTGTCTTCCAAGGAACCCTTTCCCACAAAGCCTTGCTTTCAGCTAGGCACAATGAATGAAAGAGGTCTTAGGGGACTTTTATACGGCTAATAATTCAAGTGTGTTATCCTTTTGAAACCTATCTTCCTTTTCATAAGAATCCTAGAAAAATAGTCAATGGCAATCCAAAACAATACATTTCTAAAAGTAAATTTAAGGCATTCTTGCACACTAATGTGGGAAACATTTTAGCAGAGAGGAATTTTGGGGGTACCTCTCCCACTCACCTCCTTCTGCTCCTGGCCCAGTTCTATTATACACCTTTATGTCTGGGAACTGCGATGACAGCGTGTAGCTCATAGCCTCAAAGATCCATGCACATCAGTCACAACTTCCATCCTTTTTAAACTACTTTTTATTTCCTGAATATTTACTGGAAAGTGTCGTTGCTTGAACTGAGGAGATGAGAAAAAGAGGGTAAAATTGTAGAAGAAATGTACTATACAAACCCACCACACAATTTTAAAAATTGCTATTATCTAATTGTAGCAGTCAGTCCCAAACCAGGTCACAGAATTTTCAGTCACAACATTGCCCACTGAGATAGAAAATGATCGTATTTGTGCATCTTCCCTTTTGTGGTTGGGCTAGTTAGATGTTATATTCTCCCCACTTGGGCCAGATTTCTTCAGGAGGTGCTTTCTTTCCAGCTTCTTCTTTCATTATCTTCCCACTAAAGGAGAAGAATTCTCCTGGAAGTCGGTAGAGGAGATATGCCCCACTGTGTGCGTTCATACAATAGACATTATTTGCAGATAACAAAAACTACATGAAAGGAGAAATTCCTAGTGATTTGCTGGGTTAAGCTGTATCACCACTGATGAAGACCTGGATAATTATTTTCCCAATCTTCTTAGTCAGTAAGACAAACCACAATGTGGTGGTCCCTTTTATAAAAAGCAACAGTATTGATTTTTTAATTTGATAATCAATGAAAGCTAGCATCAAAATCCTTCTTTGTTAGAAAATATACGTGGGGTTTATCCACCCCCTCTAGTGAATGAATTTCTTTTCAAAGCATTTTTAAGACTATTCTCTTCTCTATAAGCCTGCAAGCCACCTCTTTCAGGGAAAATGCTTTTGATTCAAGAAGAGTCTCAGGCCGATTGCCTTTAGCTGGGCATTGTCCACGTGGTACTTATTTTGCAGCAGTGTTTAAATCTGTGCTTTTAAAAAATAGACTGTAGTTAGAGCTCCTAAGTTGTCCAGTCTAAAATGTCCTCTGAAATGTTCCAAAAATGTCCCTCATTCTTTTCAGAGGATGTATCATTTTGTCAGTCTTTCTTGTGTAGCTGGAGCAAATTCTAGCTGGAACATGACAGGTATAAATTGACCTAGCTATTATTGTGCCCCTTAGTGTTAAAGTGACTTCAGCAACAAATGGGAATTTGGGTCAGATGGCCTCTCAAAGCTAAGCTCATAGTAAGAGCAGGAAAGATCCCTAAAACGATCTTACTACCTCTTCCCATCCGTGGTATGATCAGACCCTTTTACAGAATTTTTGGTGGTATTTACATCCCAGGAACTCTCTAACCCTGGGAGAAGAGTTATAACATTGTTTATTATGACATAGATTTGGACATGCCATGCATTGCTCACATTATGTCTCTGAGAAAAATAACTCTTTAAACTAAATCCCTTGCAGTAAGTGTCATGGAATTTTTTACATGGGGCAAGGAGAACAATACATCAAGACCCCTTGTATTACTCCTCCTCCACCTAATTCCGTAGTATGAAA